AAAAAAGAAAGAAAGAAAAGTAGAGATCCAAGGGAGCAATTAGGGTAAAGGATTGATGGACCACATGAACTATCATTTGCAGGAGTCCAAGACCAGAAGCCATGCTATTTTCAATCACTTCGTAAGCATGTGAAAGTTGGACATCAAATAAGGAAAACTGAAGAACTGACCCATGTGAACTATGGGGCTGGTGAAGACAATTGAAAGTATTATGAGCTGCCCAAAGAACTAGTGATTCTGTTTTGGAAGAAGTACAGCCAGACTGCTCCTCGGAAGCAAGGATGGAGAGAGTCTGTCTCATGTACTCTGGACATGTGATCTGGAGAGGCCGGTGCCTGAAGAAGGACATCATGCTTGGTAAGTTAGAGGAGCAGCAACAAAGAGAAAGATGCTCTACAAGATGCGCTGACACAGCGGCTCGAACAACGGGCTCAAACATCACATGGTGAGGATGGTGCCGGACCGGGGGTGTTTCATGGGGGTGCTAGGAGTCGGAGCAGACTCCGCAGCACCTGTAATAACAGGACCAGGATTGTCCCACCTTCCAGTAGAGTGACGTGAGCTACCTTTAGACATTGTCAGAAGGAGCCTGATGTTCCTCTTCTGCATTTTTTTTCCTTTTTAAAATGTTGGTGCTTCATGTAAAATTGTTACCCTCACTTGTTACGGATGTCACCTTGTGCATCACGTTGTTATTGTTATGGTGAAGTACAGTTGTTATTGTTATGGTAAAGGACGGATCAACTTTTTTTTCTTCTTTCTCCCCAGTTTTTCCATCTCTCTGCTTCCTATGCATTCATAACTGACAATACTAACTAGAGTTGGTTTACTTTGGCTTTGCCTTTCAATCTGTAGTACTAGTGGTCAAGGAGAGAATTTGTATCAAAGCATATACAATGAAATTTGAAATTCTGTAGTATGAATTGTAATAGAAACGAGCTCATATATGGTTTTTTGTAAGGGATTGACCATTTAACATTGATGCCTGATAAATTTAATGCAGGCTCAAACAACTGCATTGCCATTTTAACCAAATTTAGGGGGGTGGGGATAAATGTTTGGACTGAAAAAAAAAAAGAGCAGAAGAACTAGAAGGTGCCTGGCTCCCACGACCGACTGCTCTGACTAGGAACACCCCGAGGGTCCCAAGCAGAGTGAGAGAAAAGTGTAGCAGAGAAAATGAAATTCACAAAAAAGATCAGACTGAATGGCCTGACAGAGACTGGAAGAATCCTTCAGGCCATTGCCCCAACACGTTCTTCTGCTCTGTGACGGGAGCCTTTCCTAGAGACGCCCTGTCGGCCACATCATAGATCCCTGAGACAAGCAAGAACATCCGCAAGGAACATGTTCCAGAGACAAATTAGTTCTACAAAAATTAAAAGGAAAACATTTGCCTAAGAGCAAAGATGAGAGGGATTGAACTGAAACAAAGCAAAATAAAACTCACTGCCATCGAGTTAATTCCAACTCACAGAGACCCTATAGGACAGGTTCCAACCGCCCCTGTGCCTTTCTGAGACAGCAATTTTGGGAGGTCATCATTTATTATTTATTTGAATCATTTTATTGGGAGCTCTTACAGATATTATAACAATCCATGATTCAATTTAATCAAGAATAATGGTACAATTGCTGCCACCATCAGTTTTGAAACATTTTCTTTCTTTTTGAACTCTTTGATATCAGCTGCCCTTTATCCCCTCCCCACCCCCCAGGAATCCTTCTTATTATATTATAGATTATGGAGACTGTAAATCTTTAGGGGAGCAAAAAGGCCTCATCTTTCTCCTTTGGAGTGGGTGGTGGGTTTGAACTTCTGACCCTGTGGTTAGCAGCACAATGCGTAACCTATTATGACACTAGGGCAGAAAGGGGTAGGTAGAATCCTCAAACAAAAGAAGGATGGGGAGCTGAGGGCAGAAATGGGGAGAGTGTTCACACCTCGGGAGAAGGCAGGCAGCCAAGGTTGTGGGGCGCTCCATGTACAAACCCTCCACTGGAAAACACATTTGCGTGGTGAACTTGCATCTGAAGCAGAGTAAAAATTAAACGACAAAGGGCGCAGCAGCCCTAGCGGTGAACTTTCCAGCGGCTGAACAAAAAGTGCAGGCGTCAAAAGGCTGGCCTTGGATAACTTCCAGCCTTGGAAAGCCTAGGAGCCGAGACCCTCCTCGGTCCTGGAAGTCTCTGTGAACTGGCAGCAACTCAGCAGCACAGGAGAACAGCGATTTTTGCCAGGCGCGACTTCTGGAGTCTTCACACTTCTCTCTCCCCAAAACGTTCTCGATCTGTTTCTGGATTTATTTGCCTTTCCAGCTGCCTATTGGCAGCCCCAACTCAAAGTTTCGACTTTTCCTGAGAAGAGTGCCCCTCAGTAAGGGCTTGCTCTCACCCTGGACTTTCCAGGTTCCTCTGGATCCAATGCCCAGCTTCTGGGGACTCCCCCAAGCCATCCTTCCTGCAGTCCCAATACGCAGAAACTGATTATTTGCATTTCTAAATAGCAATGTCTTGAAGGTCTCACCCTACCATGAAAAGAAGACGGTTAGGGTTCCATTTTTAACCCCCACGGAGTTCCACCAGGCTTCTGGCTAACTGGATCTTGATGGGAGAATTAGGGTTTCGATGCCCTTTGGCTCTGTTGATTCTGGAAGACCTAACCCCCCCGCCCCCCTTCCTCACCGGCCTTCCCCTTCCTCACTCAGGCTGACCCAGCTTCCCCCAGAATTTAGTTGCTGCCGAGGAGCTTGGGCAGAACTCCAGCTTGACAGGTGCCAGGGCTTCCTGAACTCTCTTTCCTGCAGGAGGAAGTGGAGCACTTCGAACCGCTGTTGGACCACAAGGCCAACGTGTGCCATGAGGGCTGTGCCGCTGAGCAGTCCCCAAGCTCTTCTCGGAATCCTGGCCTTGCTCCTGTGCCCACTCGGGCCGCACGGTGAGTGGTGGAGGTGCCAGTGGAGTGCCCAGGGGTCCTGGAAAGATGGGCAACATGCAGACGGAATGGTGAGAGGGTAGTCAATTGCAAATGCATTTATTCCACCTTAGAAGAATGTTTACAAAAAGTGTTTACAAAATCTGGTCAAATCCTAGTGATTTATCCCCATTTGGTGGAAGGAATGGCAAATGATATTGCTAATAGATAAGTTGAGTTCTGAAAGATTTTCCACAAGTGTTCATCGTTTTAGAGCCACCCTGTTACTGGGCTAGAGAAAAAGAGCTGTCGGTGTGTACGCATTCCTGGGCTCTTCTTGTGTAAATAGGTCCCAGTGAATTGCAAGTAACTTCCTTTTCTTATATATAAATGAATACACTGGAATGCTTAAGTTTCTCCTTTTCTCCCCTACGACCCCAACCCTACTTTTGTTGACTTGCTGGTTGTTATCCTTTCACCATCTCTGCCAAGCAAAAGTGAGATTGTAATTGCTAGCACACGGGCTGAGAAATTAAGTAGCATGTAAATCAGCTGGAGGTATGTGTATCAACGCTCTCGGTAAAAGTTTAAGTTTCACAGCTTGGAAGTAATTTTTATAAACGAATCAGCTGAGCAGATGTTTAGCCTACCTGGAAAACTTTACGGCATTGAGTAGGTATGTGTACGACTGTGAGGAAATATGGTTAATGATCAATATTTATGTATTTATTTATATTAGATGTCATGCTTTCTCTCCTTCTCTCCATTTTTGGGTAATTTAAAACATGTTGACATCTCCATGCATCCACCCCCAGCTCTGGCAGTTACCAGTCCTGCTCAATCTTCTTTTCTCGCCACACTCATTTCCCCCCTTTCAAATCATTTTTATGGAATGCTTAGAGAAAATTTCAGTCCTAAATATTTAAATGTGTATCTCTCAAAGATAAACTCTGCTTTTAAAAGCAAAGCCTAACACCATATAATTCTATAATACCTACTATCAAGTGTTCAAATTTGCCCAGTTACCTCAGGCATATTTGTAATTATCCGTTCAAATTAAGAACTATATAAGGTACATATATTGTAATTAGTTGATGTTTCTTTTGATTTCTGGGTTCCATACTTTATTGTATTTCTTCTTTGAGTTCATCTGTAATTGAAATTTTAAGGTCTTCATTCATATAACACCACATCAGCCCTTTTGGCATTGAATTTTAATATTTTAAATATGAAGGGAAGAGGTTGTGATTGATTATTGGTTTTTATATATAGCTCTAAAGCAATTTAAGTTCAATTAGTTTTAGTGATACTAAAGAAGTTCTGGCGGCCGAGTGCGTTAAGTGCCGGGCTGCTAGATGCACCGTTGGTGGTTCAAATGGCTCAGCCCCTCTGCAGGAGAAAGCTGAAGCTGTCTGTTCCCGAGACGTACAGTCTTGAAAACCCGTGGAACAGCTCTGCTCTGTCCGAGAGGGTAGTCTGAATCAGCTTCATGGCAATGTGTATCGTCTGAGTCAGCATCCCAGCAATGAGTAGACTGTTTTAGACTAAAATGCTTTCACACAGTGACATTGGGCAATTTTTTCTAAGGATATGGAAGTATCTTTCATTTCAAAGTTTCATCTGCTGCAAAAAGATGCAAATAATTACAAAAGAGTAAATGTAGGATATTTGTGTTTTTCTATGGCTGGCTTGGAATTGATCGAGATAAGTTTGGTCATCTTTAAGCATGCTGACATTCAGAATTTTCAAAGTGTATTAATCTTACCAGCCCTTCACGTTCACCTCAGGAATTGTTCTCCCTTATGCGCTCAAATAACAAAAAAAGGACATATCCAATTGGTTAACACGTTTGGCCCATGATTCCCTCATTTTCTTTGGACAGATACCCTTTGTTATCCCCCAATAAGTCCCCAGTGTTTATTGAAATACACCTTTTCCAAAATAAAGCAGCTTCCTTGGGGTATAATCCACAGACATAGAATCCATGCACTGAAGGGGGCGCTTCCAGGACTGCTGGTGCATGTGTTGACCCTGCAGCCATCACACAGGCAGTCGTAGGAGAGGCTCATCACTACGACGAGGAAGCCGTATCCTTTAGCTGCTCCTTCTCTGCAGCCCGTCACCCCGCCCCACCCTCCCTCCCGCTCAAGCCCTAAGCAAGCACGAGTCTACTTCTGTATCTCTAGATTTGCGTAGTCCATATGCAATCATATGCTGTGGTGTGGCTGACTTATTTCACCAAGCATAAGGTTTTCCAGGGTCATCCATGTTATGGTATAGCAATACTCTATTATTCTTATCCATTTTGGGGTTATCTATTCATCGCTTGATGAAGTCACCTTAACTCTTAGTATAGGTTCAAACAAAATCTGTCATACTCTGATCTTTACTTCAAAGGCGTCTCTCTCATTTCTCCCCAATATAATCCTCCAGCCAAATTAGTAGACTACCCAGGAATATTTCCATGCAACCTCCCCACCACCACCACCACCACACACCTTAGTGCATAGAATTCTTCCCAAGCATAGAGTGCCCTCCACCAGTGTAGCTGCCCTTTGGATTCCAATCTCGGTTTCTTGGAGGAATTTCTGTCTGTAATTTTCTTTCTCTTTCCTTCTATAGAAAATATACTTTGTTTTCTTTTGATGCTTACCACAGGCTACCTGGTATCCTGACTTAACTGTTCATGTTCTATAGTTAATCATCCCCCAAGAATGCAAGGAAGCTTTCTCGTGTCCTGCATGGAGTCTAGTGTGACACTCTATATAAAATGAATGTCACTCAAGGTCATCGGGTTAGTAAAATTGTATTTTATAGGAAGCTCAGGAATGGGTGTATTTGGGTTTAGGTGGCTTTATGATGGCTGTCAGAAATACGTATTTTGGAATTGCTCTCTCTAGAGGAACATGTTCAGTGCTTGTGGCGTGGAGAAGTATGAAGTGTGCTTCCTGCTATCAGAGAGAAGACGTTAGAATAAAGCTCGATCCATCTGTCTACTTGTCCACCAACACATATTCATACCAGTGGCCACTGAGTCAATTCTGATTCATGACAGCCCCTCATGCATCCGAGCACAACTGTCTTCTATAAGATTTTCTATGGTCGACTTTTTAGAAGCAGATTTGCAGACCTGTCTTACTAGGTACACCTGGAAAGGTGGACTCAAAGCTTCCATTTTTCAGTGAGTTGAGCATAGGAACTGTTTGCACTATCCAGAGCCTCCTAGAGTCACGTATCTATGTACCAATATAACTGCAAAATGATAGAGACCAGAACAGTGGTTCTCAACCTGTGGGGCGCGACCCCCTTGGGGGTCGAACGACCCTTTCAGAGAGGTCACCCAATTGATTCATAAGCAAAATGACAGTGATGAAGTAGCAACGAAAATAATTTTATGGTTAGGGGTTCACCACAACACGAGGAACTGTATTAAAGGGTCGTGGCATTAGGAAGGTTGAGAACCACTGGACTAGAATGTAACCAAGAATAGAGATTTTAGAGGCAAGAAGGCCTATACTGGTCTCCTCATGTCTACATTCATTACACACCTCATAGGATTTATTAGTCTATTTATGTTTATTGTGTTTATGTATTATTTATATTTATGTAAATATACTTTGATATTTATATCTGTATTATTCATATTTCTTTTAATTGATTTTCTCCTATGTAAAAATTAATGGTAAGAACACTTACATAACAAGGTTGTTCTGAGAAGGAAATGAGATATATAAGTGAAGCTGATGGCGCGGTGGTTGGCTCATAATTAGATACAACCATGTGTTATGGGTGTTCATAGAAGCCAAACTGTTTTGCACCAGGCCAGTCAGAAAGGGTTCACATGAGAGAAGATATTGGTAGGTTTAACTTCATCAAAATTAAAAATGTCTGCCAGTGAAACCTATTATTAAAAGGATAAAAACACTACAAGGTGAATAATAGCAGTAGGAAAACTCGCACTCCTTAGAGTAATCAATTTTATGAAGTCGGAAGGGCAGCGTTTGCCCCGGATCAATCTCAGAAGGCAGAGGAGGTCAGAAAGAAGGAAGGGTGAAGAAATGATAAGCACAAGGAGTTAAGTGGGAAGCGAGCTGTTACGTTGTGGGGAGTGCAATGAACACCAGTCATTCTCAGTGCATCTTGATTGGATAGCTGATCAGTGTCAAACTGAATTCTTCCATTTCTTCATCACCAGCACTAGTTTTAGTGGGTGGTGCATAAATTTGAATAATAGTAGTATAACTGGATTTCTTTGTAGGTGTATAGATATTATGCTATCAGAGACAGCAGTGTACTTGGAGATAAATCTTTAAATGTTCCTTTTAATGATGAATTGGATGCCAGTTCTCCCCCCCACCCCCCATCATCCCTGGTATAGTAAATTATGTGATTGTCTGACTCAGGTGTCTAATACCAGTCCGCTTCAGCTCATTGGTGCCTAGAATATTGATCTGTAAGTGTTCCACTTCATTTTTGACAACTTTGAGCATATCTAGACACATCCTTCATATATTCAATGTCCGTATCATTAATGGAGGTTTGCAGCTGCTTCTCATTTTGAGTTGTGCTCAATCAGATCATTAAGGTCTTGACGGCTTTGCTCTGGACAATGACCTTCATAGATCATGAAGGTTGACTTTGCTACGAGGAGGCAACTCTTCCATACTCATACTTTGAGTGCCTGCCAAATCTAAGAGCTCATTTTCCAGAACCATAGCTGACAACATTCACATGGTTTTCAGGGGCTAATTCTTCCAAAGTGGGCCACCTGTTTCTTTTTCCCTATCTGCTCTTCATCTGAAAGCTCTGTGGAAACATATTCACAAATACCTGCTGGTATTTGAAAGACCCATGGTGTAGCTTCCACCATCACGGCAACAAGCAAGCCTCCAGCAATCTGACAGGTGATGATGACTGGAGGGGATTAGGAAGGATTGAAGTCTTGTGATAGGTCTTCTTCTTCTTTTATTTTCCTGTGCTCTCATTCACTGCCTTTGAGTCAATTCCTACACACAATGACCCCATAGGACGGAGAAGAACTCCCCTGTGGCTTTCGGAGGCTTTGTGGGAGCAGAAAAGTCATCTTTCTACCATGGAGATGCAGGTGGTTTCAAACTCCTGACCTTGTGATGAGCAGCCCAACTCAAATCCACTGCATTACCAGGGTTCCTTATTACTGTGCTATTTTCCTCAATGAATGAGAACAAAGCCTCCCTTACTCTCTCTTTCTCTCCCTCTCACCACCTTAGGTTGCAGTTTGCCCCCCAGAATTAAACACGGACATCATAAAGACGTTAGCCAACTACTGTCCTTCACTACTGAAGTGCAATATGAATGTGAGGAAGGGTACATCCTGGTTGGAGAAGCTAAAATCTCCTGTCTATTTTCAGGATGGTCCTCTCCAGCTCCCCAGTGTAAAGGTAATTCAAGCTACCGGGAGGTGGGGGGGCTGAAGGGGGGAATGGGTTAAGGAGGCGGACCGACTGTGGAGGATCTCGGAAGTGACTCAGAGTGCCAAGGCCCGCTTCTCCCCCAGGCAGGGGCAGCGTTTCCATGGCAAAGCCTAAGGGGGGCCACTTGTGACTTAATTCCAAATAGCCAAGTCATAGCACCCTTGGGTCTTATGCAGGCCATACCTTTCTTGAGAGAGTTGACCCATGGGATTGACCTTCCTATTGGTCAAACTGCATTAAGTCAGAATAAACCAGCAGTTTCTAAGCAGACTATCTGCATCATTTTACCCATAACCCTCCCACCCAACACAGGAGAACCCTGAGACCATGGGAGGGGTCCCGGAGTGCAAACGCACAGGGCTCAGAATCTGGAAGGAAAGATCCCTGAGTTGAGTCCCTGGCTCTGCCGCTTCACAGCTGTGTGATTTGGGACAATCTATTTAGCCTCTCTCTGCTTCAGTATGCTGATCTCTGTAACGGGATGACCATAGAGATCCCTCACAGGGCTGCTGAAAATTCACATGAAGTAGTGCATGTAATGTGCCTAACACACAGGCTGAAATACTAGTAAAGGCAAGTGGTCAGTGAATATTCACCAGATAGTGTTGGCCGGGGGCGTGATGGTGACAGTAGTATTGAAAGCAGTAGCGTGGAAAAAAATAGTAGGATACATTTCTTGTCCCTTGGATTACTTAATAATGTTGAGAGGTGCTTTCTGTGATATGCTAAGAATATGTGGTTTCATTACAGCTCTGTGCCCAAAGCCAGAAATACCCAATGGAAAGCTGTTTGTGGAGAAGGCTCAGTATGTCAGCCCCGAGACAGCCATCATCCAGTGTGATCCTGGCTACAGGGTGGTCGGCTCCCCAACTATCTCTTGCTCAGACAACAAATCTTGGAGCCCAAAGGTGCCCAAGTGTGAGAAGGTGACTAATGCTCATTCAATATGTTTTGGGTTATATGATGTCTGAAGATAAACTTCAGGGAAATTGTCCCATGAGACAATATTTCCTGCTTCTATAGGACTGACTTAACTGTTGGGCTTCATTGTGGTGGATCTACTGGTTGATTGCACCTATTTTGTAGCAGGTTAGCCCAGGTCTGTGGACAGAGGGGTCTCATTGATGAGATGTCCTGGCTCTTTCCCAGTTGCTGTCCGGTTGACTGGAAGGCATGGAGAAGTGTGCCTCCCTAATGTTTTCAATGGTTGGGTTTTCGGTAAAAGATCACCAGGACTCTCTTCTGATGTGCCTCTGAGGATACTTGAATCACCACTCTTCAGATAGTCGCTGAGTGGTAACAGTTTGTGCCCTCAACTCCTCCCTCACCCTAACCCTTCCTGTTTCCCCAGAACATGCTGTTCTTTTTCTCCGCAGCAGAGAAGGTCAGCAGATGGTTGGTCAGCAGAGCTCACAAGCCAGTTTTTCAGGGAGTTGTTTGTTTGTTTGTTTTTTGGGGGTGTGTGTCTTACAACTTTATTCCTTTTCGGCTTCAGACACGGATTGTTACTTAAGAACAGAGATGATTCGTTCTCAAGAAGATTTAAGTATTTTCCCAGAGGTTCCTGCTCACCCACCTTCTTACCTAAAGCAACCTGACCATGACACCAATTGGGCGGCCATTTCTCACCTCGATCCCATTGTGAGGCTCCCTGAAAGAAGCACAGCCCTTCACAAAAATGGGAGGCTTTCTTGAATCCCCCTTTTGATGTTCTCTTTCAGGAAGTGC